TTGCGTTAGCCTGTCATGCAGAGAAGCTCTGCCATACACTAGCACTTGTTCTGTGGCCAGTGTGTACTGGAACTTTCTTCCTTCAATGCATGTTCATGGAAAAGACTTTGTATGCTCCATTCTGAGTTCATTTCATTCATTCCTTATCTCTTTTCCCCTTATTTGTGAGGGGAACAGCTTTTTGGTTGGCCTGTCTCACAGTAGCAGTTTACTTAACATCTCAAGAAAATCCTAAAGAAAAAAGAATGAAGATCCATTCCAGGAAGCAAGACTTGTGTAATGAGTATGGGTTCCATATCTGCTCCCTGAGTAATGTTTCAAATTCATCTTAATAACAAAGCAACTGAAGTCTATTTGCATTTTATAAAAACAAAATGTGAAATCCTAGCCTAATGCTTTGAAATTGAATCTAACAGCTCACAAATTCCATGTGTCATGCTAATCTGAAGGCTCTGCCTACCATAAACATTTCTGAATCCACAATTGCATTTAATGCTGCTTCTGCCACACTTCAGTGGAAGAAGAGAGAGAGAGAGGAAAAGCTCTCTCTGCAGCACTGAAAGTAATCAGCCTTAGAATAATCAGCCTTTTATAATCAATCTTAATTGTAAAAACGTTTTTGAAAGAAAAAGGATAGAGTAGGAACTTGTGACATTAACAACAGGATTATATGGACATTGGATTTTTTAATTCTATTGTCTAGTTGAATTAGCCAATTCCCTCCACCATTGCAATGTCAGATTTAGCCAATTAACATGACCAATAAACTTTATGATGTGTAGATTAGGATTTCAAAATCAATTAAACAATGTTTAGAAGGTAAGTGCAATCAGGTGCATCACAATCTTGATGGTATTTGCAATTAACTAGAAGCTTCAACATGAATGACCGAAGGCCAGATGCTCAGCAAAGTACAGCTGGCAGTAAGTTAATTAAATTATATCACACCATGCTAGCTCCTGTTTGGGCTTAATCCAGAACCCTAGCCTGATGCAGGATGAATGACCTTAATTATACACTGCAAAAGGAGAACATGTCCCCCACTGGCTGTAGGTAAATCATGGTATGCCCCTTAGCCCTGAATCAACAAAATTCATACATAGTGTAGAAGAGCAGTGGTGCTGAGTCAGACCAGAAGCCCATGCCATTCTCTGTGGTGCTTCTGAGAGCACTTGGTAGCAGATGATAGGGGACAACCCTGCCAGCTGGTTTCAGTGGGACTTTAAGTACAGGCTTATTTATGCAGGAGCCTCGATACCAAGGAACTGGAAAGCCAGGGTGTACAGGCAGAGATAAATGCAAACACTGAGACTTCTGCTGCTTTGCCCTTTGCCATTTCCCCCAGGGAATTAAGATTAATCTTTATTAATAAGGTTATGATCTTAGTTTGAAAGGCTATGAAGCTGTAGCACTGGGTATTTCCACATTTGGTGGCCCATGGATGTCACTACCACAAGGTCTTTGAATACCTTAAAACCTGTGAGCAAATCTAAGGGGACTAGAAAATTTTATGGACATGGATAAGGCTCCAAACAACATGAAAAGATGCTAGCCTATTTCCAGATACAACAGAGAAGTTGCAGTGAAGTGTCATTTTTTAATGACTACTTAACAAACTAGGTGCTTGGCTGTGAATTACAAAGATTACTGTGTGGTTGCTCCTGAGTATATTTTAGGAGGCAATCAGCATTTTTTTTCCTTTCTTCCACAGAAGCTCTTGAGATCTACATCTTAAGCAACAAAGAAATGAGAAACTTAGAAAAGGGCAGGAAATGACAGAAACATATGTCTAGCAATTTGAAAAAAAAAAAAACAAAAGTATTTTTCACCTGATTGTATTAATATATTTGCTCACAAAGTTTGAAATTCATCTTGTCCAGCTTCATATATATAAGAAGTATCTAAGTTTCCCTTATAAGAAGTAGAGAAAAATAAGCACCCCCAGAGGGCATAATATCCCAGCTATCTTCCATGGCCATGCTTGAATGGGGTGACTCACTCTTCAGAGATGGCTATTTCTTTCTATAGAGAGACTTCAAAGGGTGAACTTAGACTGGGATGACCACATTTCAGTTAGTGGACAAATTCCACCCAAGGAAACCAAAAATGTGAGGTTTTTTCCTAAAGAACTAGTCAGTGATTAAAGTAAGTAGGAAACTGAGAAGGCGAACAGAGCCCTGAGATAAGAATTACAGCTCATTTACATTTATCTTCCCATTTATTTGCTTGTTTGCAGCATTTAACTGCTACTTACTAAGACATAGCCTGGATCCTTACTCTGTTTTGGCTGAGCAAGCTTTTGAGGTGAATGGGAACTTTTCAGAATAAGGATAAAGATAATACTAAGAATGCACATCTGGATTTCTTCCTGTGAGAAAAATAGGAGCGAGGAATCTTACTTATCCTTTGCCACAACAGATGAATGTCATCACCCACTAAAACCTACCTACAACAGGACGAGTAAAAAGAACTTGCAGTCTTTGAGCCAAGCTTGGAAAACTGTTCCTGGAAGTAAAAGTGGCTTCTTTCAAGATTAATGGTGCATTCTGTACCCTTCTGCTTAACATGGGAAATGGAAAAAAGGCTTTTGGAAAACATCAGCCTTGGGCAATACATGTATTTGGAAGGCCCTATAACATGTACCTTTGCTGAGACCTTGCTTTCTTCTTATTCTATTTACTCAGAGCAGCTTGATACCTTATTCTTCTTTTTATCCCAGCTGATTTTCACTTCTGTTTTTCACTGCTACATTCTTGCAGTGTGTTATGTTGGAGGTCAGGTGAGGAGATCATTTTTCCAACCATGAAACTGCTTGATGCCTGTTCACTGCACCTTCCTTTTCCCTCCTTCTCCTGATTTCATGCTCACTATGACTTCAGTCTCCAAAGCTTGTTTGGCACCATGAGATTTCTACCTATACTTAATAACCTTCATTATCTCGTTGGTTTATTTGAAATGCATAATGGTGATGAAAGCTTCTATTCAGCTCTTTTTAGAAATTTCACTTTGGATATCCATTCTTGAAAACTATTTGTTCCATGATAGCCGGAATCCATTTGCAGCCTCTAAAGAAGATGACCCTGCTCATATGAAATAAAACTGATATTTCGTAGCCCTAGTGTAACTTCACTGGTTTCACAGAATCACAGCAGAGTGGAATTTACACCCATTTAGGTTTATACTACTCCAGAGCACAACTTGGTGTAACTTGTTTATTGGTTTCAAACCTCTGATGTAATTTTGAACCTGTACTTTATGTATTTGTCCTGAAAAACTTTGCCCTATCCAACTCTGGCTGTCTAGAAAAACAATTTGTTTAAAAGACAAAATTATTGATCAGTGCCATTTTAATGAGAAAAACACTTTCTAGAGTAATCCAATTTTGTCATCCTGATTTGATTAAAGTATCCAGCCTAAGGCAACCAAATTTGCTTCTGAGCAATCCTCTGTGTTAGTAAGTTGGGTGGATGTAGGTGATGGAAAGGTTGGTCTGTTCTTTCTAAAGGTATTCACTGTCAACTCCTCTACCTTACTTGTGCAGCTGATTTACAAGTGGCTGCCTGCAATAGCAAGGGCTGATAGTGAGCTCAGAAGTAGCTTATAACCTATGCTCTTCCATATTTCTGTTGTGGAATACTCCTTTGTGTGACCACAGAACTACTGTATTACACTAAACTCCCAATTAGAAGTAAATATGCACCTGAGAGACATTTCTTTCTCATGCCTGCTGGTCTGAATTATTATACCTTAAAACTTTAAGACTTACATAAAATTTTTGCTGTTGCCATTTTTAGGCAATGGTTAAAATAAAGTATGTGTCATACAGAATAGCAAATTTCAGGTTGTTATCCATTGCTAAGGATTAAGATGGATGTTTAACCTTAGAGTCGCAGATATGCCCTGCAGACATGAATAGACTAACTGATGAACAGGCAGTGACTAACCCAGGATTTCTCTTTGATATGACAGCACTGTTGAGGGTGGAAGGATCCTACCTGCCCTGCTTTGCTCAGCCTGCTGCTGTGGTAAAGAACTAATGTAACCAGATTGAAGCAAGTCAGCCTTTTCAGCAGATCCAAGGCAGAAAGTTCACGGCTCACATTTTGGACAGAAAGTGTACAAAATGTAGAAATTTAACAGAGTGATGCTTATAGAATTGGATGAGAGGACCACAGGTGAGATATTAAAGAAAAGGGCATTTTGTTGTACTTTCTGAACTGGCATGAACTCAACCCCAGGGTCCTGTCAGTATTGCCTCCTGTGGCTGTGAAAGGGGGTGCTGGGGGCAGAACATCTACACTGGTGGTCCCCATGTCCAGATCATTGTCACCAGCCAAGAACCCAAATCCCAGTGACCTTCATCGAGCAAAACTCTGACGTGCTGCAATGGTCCATGAAAGCTGGCATGGATTCTCATTGTTAAATGCTTTGGGATACCTCAAATATGAATGGAGCTATATAAAATTCAACTCTATTGTAAAGAAAACAGCTGTCATGAATTAGGTTATGTTCAGCTTTTGAGATGTGGACGACTGTCCAGTAGGGAATGAACAGAAAACTCAATCCATTTAACTTCAAAACAGAGATTTGTCTTCTCTTTCCCAGAAAACAAAACCCCAGGGATTTTAAATCTATAAACCACATATAGCGTATCACCCAAACAATTTCTTCTGAGGTTTGAAAAACCCCTTGCTGCTAATTATTGGTTATAGATGTTTGAAAGAAAAATGTAGTTTTAATGCTGGCTTTAATTAAAATGCCTTTAATAGCAGTCATGGATTTTGCAGCACAAGTGCTAAAAGGCCAAATCCTGCTTTTGCAGTGAACTGAGTTCAGAAGAACGAGATGGGCAAGCAGTCCAAGGCAGATTCATGCCAAACTTTGCAAAACAGTTTTGCTTTTAATGTGACTGAAGTTCACTTTCCCAATAAGAACATTTTCTGGAAAGGAACAGATTTACTGTTTGAACTTTACCATTTCCTCTTCTACGAAACAATAGGAGAGAAGAGGAACCTTTCCAATTTTTCACCCTCTTAATTAATAAGACATTCTTTGGCATATGACAGGAAAAATATGTGATGAATGTACTTGATAGGTTATGATTAATAATGGTCTAGGGAGGTTTTAGAGACATGAGACGCCCCATAAACACGGAATTAATACCAAAGTGAACATTTTTATAATGTCCATTTTGGCACTCTCCCTGACCTAAGATTTTAGTAGCTTTATATGTCATTTAATTAGTGCTTTAAAAAAACAAAATGCAAGCAACTCTTTTCAAACCATAACAATTCATTGCATGACTTATGTGGGTTTGAACTGGCACCGTTAGTCAAAACATTCCTAGTGCCACTTTATTTCCATAAACCATCTGTATTGTAAACTTTACCAGAAATTTCTGTGCCAGGTTTGAAGAGTTCAGGCAGAGGGCACTTTGAATATAAGGAGTGGATGTAGCCTGCATATCAAAATGATTTAATAATGTAATTAGTAATAATTAGAGAAAGAGAGGGAAGCTACACCAACAATATCTCTAACTTATGATTATATCTAAGAGTCTGCATCTAGATGTATTTTAGGAAAAATTAGTATCTTTATTCAGGACTGAAAATACTGGACCTGACTTACCTCTCGTACTCATAGAAATTACAAGTAATTAGTGGTGTTAATCCAAAATAATACAAAAATAAAGGGATCTATTTGCCAATTGCCTATCTCTTGCAAGAGATCACCTACATCAGGTGTTTTTTGCTCCTGAGTGGCAGCCTCCGAGCATGAATTATCCCATCCTTCTGATCTTATGTTGTCCCAGCAGGCTTTTCTTCAGTGGTTGACTGCTTCCACCATCAGCTCAGCAAAGTACCAAAACCAGCCTTTAACTGAGGACTTTTCCAGAGAGGACCAAGTGGAGGGCATTACCTACATCAGGTGCTCCAGCCCTCTGAGCATCTTCATGGCCCTCCTCTGGACTTGCCCCAACAGGTCTCACATTCTTCTTATGTAGGGGACACCAGAACTGCACACAGTGCTCCAAGTGAGGTCTCACAAGAGCAGAATAGAGGAGCAGGATCACCTCCTTTGACCTGCTGGTCACGCTCCTTTTGATGCAGCCCAGCACACTGTTGGTTTCTGGGCTGTTAGGGCACTCTAAAACTGACTCATTCCCTCAGGACCTGCAGATGCATTTTATTGGGTCCCATCGATTAGTGTACCTTTTCAGGTCCTTCAACCTTACTACTCATCAACCTATCCCAGCCTTCAAAAGAAACACTGGAAGGGAGGAAAAATTGAATGTTGATACTGAAAGCAATCACTAAAGTCATGGTACTGTTAGAGAAAGGGTGATTTCTAATCTAGTTGCTAAACTAGCAATCATTATGGGAACAACTAAACTGTCCAGGTTGTCCCCCCCCCAAAAAAAAAACCCTAAAATCCAAATGTGTAGATGAGGATCTTAAATCCTGTTTCACCAAAAATGCAAGGTATTTGTCAAGGATGAAAAACAGGCATATTGAATGGTTTGTGATTAAAACATGTATTGTTAGAGAAAAATAAGGCGGAGTACATTATGTACTATGCTGTAAGAGACCATAAGGGAGTAAGTAGTAACATAACATGGACAAAACTACTCGAAGTACAAAAGTGCAGCATATTATGCTATGCAAAAATATAGGATGAAAAATAAATATTAATATTAAGGATAAGGTCCAGGTTTCCTGAGTATGATAGCAGAGAATTTTCTTTATCAACTGAGATAAAATTCATCAAACAAGACGGCAACCTTAATTACACTTTGTTTTTATAAGTGATAAGAAATAAAAACTTGTTTCAAGTAGATCAAGGGTTGATTCAGTTTAAAATCAATTTAAGGATAAACAAAGGCAGTTTTGTAATTAAGGTTTTAGATTTCAAATGGATAAAGACTGAAAAATGAAGGTATCTAATTAGTGAGCTCTCCAAAAGAAACCAAGAACCTGAGTGCAGAGGAAAAATAACATTACTCAAAGTCAAAGGGATGAAGACTATCTGTATGCTGTACCATAAGCAAAGGAAAAATCTTTGTAAACTTTGAGGGAAGCACTCTGGACAGAAAGAGATAAATAACCACCTTAAAGAATATATTAAGGTTTTAGAAAAGCCTTCTCAGGAGGGAAAAATTGAATCAGCAAAATGAGTACATTAGCTGTCAGGTAACATACAGGTAAAGTGAAAACCAATGAAATTCAATCTGAACTGCACCTTGAAAGAAAAATTGAGACAATAAGCAAACATCTGTTTAACCGTATGTATTAGACTGAAGAGTAGACAATCTCCTTCCTGGAACTGTGAAAGAGATGGCATGAGGAACAGTATCAGGAATTCACTTTTGTACTGATCACGTTAAATAGGATGGTGCATTATGGTTGAACATAGCTAATGCAGCATTACTTCTTGTGAAAAGATGGAAATAGGACACTCACAAGTAGGGACTAACGTTACTTTAATAGTGTACAAAATGTAAGAATGAATTTTGAAAGCAAGTATATGTAGAGAGAAATAAAAACCAGTATGAAATTGAGCATGGCTTTAACAAAACTGAATCATGCAAGAATAAGCAGGAGTATTTCTTTGGTGATAAAAACGCTTTGCTAGGCAAAGGAAATGCAACATTTTGCCTGGATTTCAGGTAAACATTCGATATGAAGCAATAGGGGGAAAAAAAGCTACATGATGTGCAGAAGCTCAGAATTAGTATAATAACTATAAGGTCAACAGGGAACTGCCTAAAGGGCAGCTCACAACAGGTTCTGCTGAAAGGGAAATTATCAGGTGGGAGGAAATCTATTGTTTGACAGATTGAGTTTAGGACCTGCTTACTTAATAGTTTCATTACTGACCTTGGCACAGAAAATAGCAGCAAATGAGAGATATTTACTGATGACATAAAACTGGAAAGCATGAAAAGAACTGGAAAGAAAGAAAGAAAGAAATGGATGACCTTGGGGGCTGGTGCACTAAAAGTGAGATCATGTGTAACAGAACAAAGAGCAATGCCCTTGCATGGAGGGAGCAGACACAGTTCTTCCTCCGTCTGTCTGCTACCGGCTAGCTTGAGCCTTTCAAAGATAACTAACCAGTAGTAAGCACATGGATACAGGTTGAATGTAGGCCACCTGCCTCTAAACCATGATTTCTACTGGAAATAAATATTCACATATGAATGGGCCACAGAATGGGTCTGAGCCATCAACAGGATGCATCCATGGGTAAACCCCGGAGCTATTGTGGTGAGTATATAGGGGAAGTACTTCCAACAGCAAAAGGAAAGTAATAGTGCTAAATGAGAATCTGTGGGAAGTCCAGAGGGAGAACACTGTTTTCTTTCGTGCTCATCCATTATCAAGAAAGAAGCACTGAAACTAAAAATAATGCAGCGAGGGACTTCTCAGAAAAGTGGAGAGACTGCTCCCTGAGAAAATACAAGAGCACTTGTTTGGGTCAGCAAGGTGAAGTCTGAGAAGAGGTAGAACTGTTTTCTCTAAGTACATTGGGGGTGGTGAAAGGAGATTGTAATAAAAAAAAGCTATTTAAATTGAAGAACAGCTCTGGCACAAGACCTGCGGACTCTGCTTCCTGATCAGAGCCATGGTTTTTGGAACAGTTTCCTACTAGCAGTATTTAAAGGAAGAAACCTCACTAACTGGTTATTAATCAGTTTATGCAATGGGCTCTGCTTCCACTAGCTGCCTGATGTAGCCAGGCAGAGGGCTCACAGCTGGCAGGATCGCTTCCAGTCATACGCACTGAAACTGCAGCCGCATGCATCTTGCCAGCTGAGGTTCACTTGCACAGTTTTCCTCTGACAATTTCAATATAACTGATTCCACTTATGACCTGTCATCATAAATATCTGGATGCTTTAAAAATGCTGGCTTTGAAAGAGAGGTGGGAGACCTGCAGAGTGGTATCCCCACACTTTTGGCCGTATTAGCCTCATCACAGGGATTTTAAGAGTTAACCGAGCTCAGAAACACTGAAGCTGAAAAAAGGAACAGGGAGGGTGTGGGGCAGGAGGGAGGAATTGTCAAAAGAAGGCAAGTTAGGGTAAGACCTTACTGAGCTCTGTCCTTTCAAATTTCCTATGCTTGACACATCATCAGGATGATGTCAAAGTGACTTAACCAGCTATGACACTTCATTCCAATGATGTGGCCAAGCAGAGGAAATTTGAAAGGATGTGGCTTATGGTACAGAAAACAATCGTTTAGAGAAATGCATGACTGCTGTTTTCCAATTTAAATGAATTTTAAGCCCTTTCTCCCGTCTTCTAAACACATATTGCACCACTTGGAATATTTGCATTGCTGCTGAGCTTGCCAAAGTTTGTTAAAATAGCTTTACTGTGATTAAAAGGCAGCCTCCAGTTTTGATGTGGGGACTTCATCATCATATTGGCTGTTGTGTATTATACTGTCTATGGCACTGAATAGGTAACTACTAAAAAGAAAAAAATTGAATTCTGTTGTTATTGCTATTATTAATTCTAATGCTATTACTTTCCAGTAGTAGCACCAAGCAAGCTCTATGAGCCCAGAAGCCCCCGAGCTTTCAGCACACTTCTCCTTTATGTGCCCACTCACTTTGTGGCCCTCCTCCATAACCCTGACCAAGCAGTTGGTCCTGGGGAGGATGGGCAACCCTCACTTATGTGGCCAAATACTGTGTCAGAGCCTGGGACAGCAAGGGCTGCACCTAGGATGCCCTAGCAGTCTTCTGTGTGTAGACAACTCTAAGGTGATGGCATCCCTCAGTAGCAGATGGCTTGACCACAGCCCGTGCCTGCAAAGCAACCTTGTCTCAGGGCTTTTACCCTGCAGCAATCCCCACTGCTACAAGAAGGATACACTAAACACCACGGCTTTTCTTGGGAATCATATTTTCTTTGTGTTGGAAAGATGCTGCTGTCTCTATCTCTCCCAGATCCTCCTTGACAGCTTTACATTAAAGCTGCTTCTCAACCCTGAGGGGTAATGTGCCTCATGACAATATGGCATAACAATTTCCAGAGCACTGAAATGCTTTGGAAGCACCATTTTCAAAAGAAAGTTCATATTCAAATATGTCTTCGCCCTGAATAGGCTTCAATAACACAAGTTGGAGTTCCAGCAGTGTCTCAGTTCCCAAGGCACATCTGAAAACTCTAGTTGTTCTTTCATGAGTAATAGGAGAGAGCAGATTGTTCAAACGTCTATTTAGAGGATGTGCAGCGTATCTGTGTTTGAGGATGCTTAACCCAAATCTGGGCGCAGTAAAATAATTCCCAGGAACAGCAAAACTGTTACACCCGCAAAAATATGTTAAAGGACACTTCATGTATTACCAAAAAGAACTGGTAAAGTTTGTTTCGGTCCTGAAAAAAGCAAGCCAGATAAATATTGAAGCATTAAGGGATAAATTAAAATAAAACAAAGAAGAAGGTTTATTTTTGAAGGTAGAGAAAAAGAGAGAATGAAATGCTCAGAAAATCGAATAGTTATGTGACTCGGTCATTAAAATACACAGTAACTATAGCTGTTAAAGAAATCTGAGGACAAACATAGCTTCAGTATTTACACTCTTCTTAGTTAAAACCAGATAGCTCTTATTTAAAGAATGTGAATCCTTTCTTTGCTTTTGCTAGTCTGTTAGATGCTGGTTTACAGTTTCAGCTTCCAGTGCTGTTTTAAGCAAGCAAAGCTTTATCTTAAACAGGATACATAATATTTTCTGGCAAGTCTTAAATCCTTGAATTCTTCTTATCTCTATGGTGACAAGCCTACATTTGGAATAAAGTATCAAGGCTTTTCGGAGCAGAGGCATTTTCAGATAAAAGCTGGTGCCTTTGATTTATGGCAGTTCTCAGTTTTTATCATTTGAAAAAGAGAAATGCCTGATTATTGATTAGGAACAGCTTTTTCAGGAATAGCTATTTTGGATTAAAAAAAATCCAAATCTATGATTACACAATTCGCTAATTTACATGAAATGATATGTGACTGCTGACACCAAATGGGCATACCCATGTGTCATCTGTGTCTGAAGTGCCATAAAACTCCTTGTTGAGAGGAAGGAAGCAACACAGACTAGTCTAGGGCTAAGATGAAAAAAATTTTTCCCATGTAGTAACTTACAAGTGGTATTTTTGCTTCCTTACTCATGTACACTCACTACCACATGAATTGTAGCTATGACAGCAGCCAAGAACTGTATGGCCCATCTTTCACCAAAAGGGTGTGATGTTCAGTTCCATTAAATCTGTTAAAAGAACACTGAAAATCCAACTTCTTAATAGAACAGCATTACTTTTTTGAGAACACAACCCTGTTCTGGTTCTGATGGATGAGCTCATCTCTCACCAGCCCTACACCCGCAAGTCTGCAACACATAAGCATCATAAGCAAAGCATCATGATGAAAAATGTTGAAATACATATTTTTGCATTCAGATACAGAGAAGCTGATTGCAGAGGATCTTTGAGTATGTCTGAGGTAAGATCTGGTGCTTTGTATGAACCAAGAAGACAGTGAAAATAAATAGGATCTTGCTAAGTATATGCAGTAGAGAACACAAACTTTCAAGTGGAACATAGAGTCCTCTTTTTCTTAGAGAGTGTAATGGCATTATAGTGCAGTAATATTTTGCCAGGCAATAATTTGCAAACCCCATCAACAATTCTTTCATAAAGATGCTATAGAAGCTTGTGAGCCTGACAAAATGTCTTTTAAAAAGAATCTGTGAGTGCAGCTATTAACAGTTCTCCAAGCTTTCTCACCTTTGAACTCAGCTATGATGCTAGTTCAGTCATAAAATCCCAGTGGAAACCATGTGCAACACATGTTTGGTTTCAACTGTCTGTTGATTTCATCCTATTTACATATATCAGATCTTTGCCAGTGAGTGTAAAAATTTATTTTCTTTACTACCCATTGTAGCCTTACACTAAATCCTCAGAGTTCGTGTCAAATTTTAACTTCTGTTGGCTTTAGCCGTATAAAAAAAAGGAAGAAAAATGTTCCAAAATCAGCTCCCCTGGACCTCCTTGATCTTATCTGACATGTTCATATGAATGCCCCTCTAGGTCTCACGATCTCATTATTCATGAACAAAGATTTATTGCATTTTCTTTTTTTCCCAAAAATATGTCAAAGTGGAAACGAGCATTTCAGGCCTCTTAAAACATTGCAAGAAATATGATGTTGGGAAAGAGGTGTATGAGGAAAGCTAATAACAGCAGTCATATAATCCCCTGGAGAAAACCTGTTTCCTTCAAGAAGCAGTAGCTTTTTGTCTTTGTATGGAGCTTGAGATATTTGAAAGGCATTCCAAACTGGTATCTCAAAGGGATCTGACCAGACAGAAACATGTGATTTTGAAATGCTGCTGAGCTGGAAGGAAAGACAAGACCAGCACATCTGTGGATGCTGTAGAGACCAAGAAGCTTTGGGTGTCTGCCTGCACAGTATCTACTGTGTACTTTTGTTTTGTTACTCATTTCAGTCTGACACAGCCAACATCCCTGGACAGTATGTGTGTAGCCACTGGGTGACAAACGACTAGACTTTCAATATCAAACTGTTGTCTTCACACATACATTTAAAAAAAAACCAGAAAACAATACTTTTCAGTGAAAAAAGTTAAGAAAGAAACATGAAACCAATTATTTTCATGCTTTGAGAAAAGTCAGATGCCTGTAACCACAGTGCGTAACAGCTATAGTCATGTCAGATAACCCCAGACCAAAAAGTGACATCCTGTCAAAATGAAGTTTCCTTTGCTAGATGTCTTCTCTGAACCCCCCACCCCAGTTTCCCTCTTTGCCCTATGTTTATCTCTTCCTTACCTCTAATCTGACCTTATTTCTAACCTAATGCTCTTCAAATGGCGATTTTTAATGCTATTTTGGCACAGCCATTGGTGTGCTAACCAAGGGGATTTTCATGTTTGCACTCAAAGCCACTTCTTGGGCTGCCACAGCATTTCTAAGCCATGACAGTCCTCTAAAAGCACTGTAAAACGATTCTTCATACAAACACTTTATCAAACCAGAATTTCTAACACGGGCTTAGCTTTCCACGGCTGTCAAAGGAGGCATAAGTCACAAAGAAAACAAGTTTGTAGCAAGATTCACTGTGACTCCCTTTTATTTATTTGTTTTTATCAGCTTTGGGGCCTTTGTGCACACCATTATATACAAATCTATTCAATCACCATGTTTATATTTACAAACCATGTACCCCAAAGAAAGCAAAAGAAGTTGCCATTAATAGCTGTCATTTATAGACAGGGAAGGAAGCCACCAAATATATTAAAGGCCCAGTGAAGTCAGTAATGACTTTTCCTTCTGATTCATTCGGCATCAAACAAAAACAGCACCCAAGGAGGAATACTCAAATGGGATTTAGAAAGTCTACAATGTTCTAAAAGAACACCCCTAAAACATGTTAATTCCCCATCTTTTTGTGGACTGTGAGCTTTCCGGAGCTCTTCTGCCACTTCTTTAGCCCAACTAAATCTATTCCATTCCCTTGCAGTCAGTGACACTGCATTCAGCTGCGTCAAGGCTTTTTGAATTATCTTTCATCTTTGCATGTGTAGAGCAAGGTACAGTTTTGCTTAGTGCCTTGCATGACTGGAGATGGAACAAATGATAAATTCTGTGAGCTTTTTTATATGAAGTCCTAATCCACAAAGACATATCTATAATCTTTATACCAACAGACCTCTCCTTTTGATAGTGACTTAATGATGACAAGTATTCCTTTTCTGCAGATCAAATGTACTAGGTAATGCTTCAAATTATCTCTTTACTTAAAAGGAAAATGCTGACAAAGACCATTGTTACAGGTGAATCATAGAAATAGCAAATTCAGACCAGTCCCTGCTGCATATAATTACTACAGCAAGGATTTTAGATGCCATGCAGGGGGACTGTTGTCTTAGTTGGACAGCCTTTGTAATGAAGGTGGGAAATGAAATCAGACTAATCTGGTTTACTTCAAAAAAGCATATTAGTTGATAGAAAGCATCAAGATAATCTCTGTACTGTATGTAATGTCATCCTCGACACAAGCTGCTCAGCAAGGGACACTTCTGCCTTTTAAACTCAGACTGTTCCAATGTGGAGATGTGATAGACATCCTGCTTGTGAGGGAAACCAGGACAAAGCAGGACGGATAAACTTTCTGCCCTTTTCTCCCTTCTTATCTCAGTATAAAAAGACCTTAGAAAGTTGGCCAGTCTAAAATTACTTGAGCTAGATAAGAGATGTAGACCTCAGTAAAGAAAAGACAACAATCTGGTGGGATGCCATGAGATGGGTATCTAGTATTCCATATCGGAGAGGCATGCTCTCAGGATGAAGAGAAGGATTTGGTTGTGTGCATATTTGTTCAGAGAAATTTGTGGTGAAAGAAGCCTTTTAAATCACATAACCCAGAAAAAAAAAGGTTGTGGAAGGGTGTGCTGTATTTCTTCATCTCACTGTCACTCAGGTGAGCGAGTGGCAGAGTGTGCTGCTCGTCAGGGTATGGTGCCGCTAGCACAACTAACAGTGCACAGTGGATTTCCTGTGCAGAGCACTAAGAAGAGTTAGGTACCAAAAGTACATCCCTCCTGCAACCAGAGTGCATGCTTACACCAGCTTAAACCCACCTCACTCTGTCAGCTGCACCTAAGATACCTCAGTGTGAGCTTCACCCTATGCCACGCAAACCCCCTAGGAACCTCTGGGACATCCTTGGGCATACCATCATCTGTACTGCCACTGGCACCTGTGTGAGAAGGATTCACAGGGTTGTGTGTGTACCTGACCTCGCTGTAATTCCAGATGGCTCAGCAATGTGGCTGGAACAAAGCAAGCTGTCACCTTTTGGTTACTGGCAATTCGTTTGATCAATGTAAGTGTGGTTGCTCCTCACAAATTGGTATTTTCTTACTGGGGTAGGTAGACACACATGCACAGAAGAAGTAAACAGCTTTGCACTGAAGAAATGATCATCACTGGTTCCAACAGATGCCCCTATAGTTATACTCCTGTAGTGGGATTTGTACACACTACAGTAATATGGTGCTAGCCTCCCTTGCCTGTAAGCAATGAAGACCTAGCAAGCAAGCCCCACTGTTTGTGTTTGCCCATCTCCTAACTGAATCACAGGGAAGTGCCCATCTTTGCTAGTGATTCATAACCTTGACTCCGCCAGTGGAGCCAGAGTGTAATTCTTTAATTTCACAAACTAAAGTTAGTATTATGTCTTTCAAAAGGTAGGTGAAAGGACTGCTTGCTTTTCAGACATGAGCTCTGCAGATAATTGATCTCTGTTCATCTAGGAAACAGGTACAGTTCCAGCAACTGCCTGAGGACATTTGTGTACATGTTACCTACCTCCCTGGGTAAACGCTCCCATCATGCAGTCATTTTATGGGTAGTTTTGCCAACCCCCCCTCTTGGACCTGTCTTATTAACTCTTTTCACACTGCTTGGACAAAGGAGTGAACCATGGTTTTGTGTAGAGGTGGGGATTCCACTCCCACACAAGGCAGTGCCTGAAAAGACACCAAAACCACATGAGAGAGGAGAAGAGACTTCCCCTACTCTATTAAAACCTGAACTACTCTACACAAAGTATAACTTTTATGTTCCACACTGGTATGTATTCACAATAGGTGTAATGGCTCCAACTCAAAGGCAAATTAGAACCTCTATTCAGAAAATGAGATGTGCAGGGCCAAACATCCCCTGGAAGGGCTTGAATCTGCCAGGCTAAACCCCAGAATCACCAGGCTGTTGATGAAAAAGGAGAGAAATCTCCTGTGAAAAGTGAGTGGATCTTAGCGCAAGGAGAGCGTAACAGTTTCTATTTTGCAACAGCCACAAACTGCACTTTGTAGAGTATTACAATGATTAATTAATTGTTACCTGGCATATTCATGTTAAGATTAAATCCTTTCCTAAAAGATAAACCCCAGGAGCCACTGTGCTAATATATTTTGAAAGTATTATTTCCTCCTTTGCAGAATTTTCTAGACTTACATCTTATGCTACACCAGGCTACTGAGCAGCTGATAACATTGATGCCTTATGGCTTTAAAAGCTATCACCTTCTAAAAGCTTATAGGTAAAATATTAACCACATCATGTACCTTGTATATCAAAAAAGAAATTCAATTTGACAAGTCTACTTAAAAATACATAAAGCTGCTTTTACTTAGTGCCCACATAGACTAGAAACTCCTTCAGATTTTTGTGCAAGCATATATGAATTATTCAAGTAGATAAGGAAAATCTGATGTTCTGTGATGCTTCTCTAAGGAAACTTTAATATGAAAAATTCCCTTGCTTTTTCTGAGTCACTTTTTGTTCTCTCTTTTTTGAGATTTTTGAGAACCACAAATCCTGCAAAGGAAAATCATTGCAAAGTATAGGCAGTCTCCAAAATGAACAAGCAATATAAAATGTCTTTGTAGTTTGAAATGCCACTGTTAGGTAAAGGGAGTCTTGTTCCATATGCCAGTGCAAACAGCAATTAGTTCAAGTAGAAAAGATTAGACCAGGTGCAGGTTTTGAAGTGACTTTTGGTGGGAGGAGGGAAAGGTCTCTCTTTTGTTAATTGTCTGTGGTAATTCATCAGGCATCTGAGGAATTTAGGGATATTCAACCTTTTGTGCTTAGCCAACAAAATGCAACCTCTATCGCATCCGTGAACTGGTGGGAAATACAGGGTTTATTGACACTTGTCAGTCTGCTGAAGTGAAAGATAACATGAGGAAGAAGCACATGTTATACTTGTCTTCCACAACATATCTATTTTGCATGGGCTTTGTTGGACAAGAGGAAAGGCAGAATGGGCCCCTCCAGTGTGGGAACCATGGGCAAGCACAGCTTGAGGGCCAGTGTCAGAAAGCAGGCACATGAGGTGGCTGCAGCGGTTCCCTAAAGCCCTGCAAAGCTGTAGGTGACTTTCATAAAATGACAAAGAAAGGGGGCTAGCACAACAAAGTCTGCCCTTGAGAAGAAAGATACTCTCAGAACATCAAAAACCTCCTTAAAAGATTGGATTAACTTCTTCTAATCCTTTGAATCATGGGTAGATATGAGTTCAAAGGACTAATGTAATTTTATTATTACATTTAATCAAATGTTTAAGTTAAGAAATAGGAACTGAGCTAAGGGCAACCTTCCCTTATCAGGTTCCAGCATCTGAAAGCAGGAATGAATTAATTAAGTAAATGTAACAAGCTTAGGGGTATAACACAGAGCAGCAGCTGAGTCAGCTTGACCATCGGCCAGTTATTGGGGTGAGATGTGCAGCTTGAGTACTACCAGATGATTCAATTCACATATCTTGGCAGTAACAGATAAGCCAAAAGGGATGGCCAGAGGGAAATAGTGTCATGAATTGGCAAGGCAGAGAGTCATTCACCAGCTTAAACAAAATGTTGTCATCAAGGAAGTTATGCATTAATCTATACTGTAGAGTAGGCTGCCCTACCCAGTGAAAGCAGATTTTGTAGGTTAGCTTCTCATTAAAGGAGAAATTAGTTTTGCCAGGCCCAGGCACATGTTATGCAACTGGCTTACATCAGGCCATGCACTCTAACCTCTCATTTTCAGCAGTTTCAGCCCAGATACCAGTGCCAAATAAGAATCCATTGGTCAAGATAAGAGAGTTAAAAGAACAGAGTGTATATTCTTGCCCTTTTCCATAGCTTCTCACACACGAAGACTTCTTCACAAGTGCAACAATAATGTAAAATTTCTTTACAGTTTGCACATTGACTTGTATTGTTAACTAGGAAATTGTAATATATAATCAGCTCCACCATCATGCCGTATGTCCAAATGACATATGACTAAAGAATTTTCTTTCTGTCTTAACTGCAAATTAAATATAGATGAGACGTGACTAAATTACAACAGGTTTCATTTACGCATAGTCAATTAACTCAGCGCTGTTTAACAAAAGAAATTCCATTCTAAGAGTGTGGGATTCAGCACAATCCTTTTGGCTTAGATGACGGGTAGAGATCTTCAGAGGTGGACAGCTAAGTACAGGAAGACAGAAATTATCTAAAAAATCAGAGTATGTTATGGCAGATTTTCAATTCAGTGGGAACCTAAGTGTTGCTGAAAGAAAAGTGCAATATAATTTGAATGACTCATTCCAGCAGCTAGGGATTTCTTCTGTTTGCTAGAAAATTAAAGCCGCAGAACATCTAAGGGGTAAAGAAAAGGAATGGATAAATCTGAGCCCTCTTCTATTGCCACTTTCAACTACCCAAACCTGGGAAAAGCACAGAAATGTCACAAGTAACAACAACCTCAAATCAAACCAACCACCCACTTAATATCCGTGAAGAGAAGGCACTGGCCGGATGCCGAGTGGATGAAATCATGCTACCCAGGTCCAGCACAAGACCAAGAGCTAGAAATTTAGGAAACACATGAGAAGCATGATCCTCTGCTTCAAGCCCACGCCTGAAACACAAACCCAAAATAAAACTTCTGGGTTTCCAGCTTTTGCATTCTTCCCCTGTTCCTTTTTTTTTGCATACATTTGTATGTGTGCATGTCATATGAATGTTAGTGCTCCTTCTGATTTCATCTTTTCGTCTATCTGGTTTCTGCAGAAAAAACAGGCCGTTGACTGCTTGCTCTCAAACACTGCCATGGCAACATTTGTGATGTCAGGGACACAGGATTAGGAGTTCCTGGCATTGCTGATCTAAGGGGAGAAGCCTGGCTGGGAAGGAGAAAACTCCCATCCAAACAGCTTTGACAATAGAAATGGGAATTTCAAGAGCAGCTAGTGAAGAATCCTCAGTAGTAAACTATCCAGAAACAACCAGAAATTCAGCCTCAAAAAACAGTTGACTGAAGATAATACCAAAACCATCACCATAGGAGTAAATAATTAAAATCAGCGGAGCAAAGCCAGTGTTGTATTAGCAGTAACTGTGGCATTAGAATCAAGATCATTTCACCATTTTACCAATGGCAGCACAACACAGTAGAGGAAAAGACAGCATCTTTAATTAAATTATACAAAGTTTTATTTCAGCAAAGTATACAATGGTTATTATACAATCTCTATTTCTTCTCCACTGCTAAAAAGCTGAGTGCAATTTTGCACCTATTATTCCCTTGGACCAAAAGTTCACAGTAGAAAAGACAATGTAGGAACTAAATGTATGCGTGCACTTAAAATAACCAGATACGTCAGCTTATATGTGTGGGAGTACCATGCAAAACTGCAAGTGGTAACAAGGGACTTGACAGCCAAAGGCCTCTCCCACAGCTATCACTTTGGAAAAGGAACAGATTATCAACAACCAAGCCCACAGCCCAGCCTTTTGGGGGCCTGGGATGGGACCCTCCCCAGCAATGCAGAACAGCTTATCACAGCACTGGGGATGAGCACTGCTGCTCCCAGCCAGCTGCCAGACCTCCTTCTTGGGTTGGTCGTGCAGCTGGAAAGGGGAAATTGGAGATAATGAAAACAAAAACGGGGAAACAAATAGAGGGATGGAATGAGTGCAGAGGCCCAGAGCAAAAGTTGAGACTGGGTCATGTTTTACGTGAGGGTGGTTTGCAGCAGAATGAGATGGTTCCTTCTCTAACATTGAAAAGAGGGAGCTGGGAACAAAACGCCTTGTTCTTCCTCTCCTGTCTGTGTGGCCTTGCTTCTTCTGTGGGTTGCTATTGTAATGGCTAACCTACCTATGTGTCTACACATTAGGACACCTTTAAATCAGAATTGCTCCTTCTTCTTCTTAGACAGGAAGCCTGATGAGCCATGTGTTGGACAAGGATGATATGTGATGAGCTAAAGGACCTCAAGCAGTATATTTCAATGGAAAACTAAATAAACTGAAGGATACACACCCTGCCACACACCCATCATGATTTTGAGGATAAATTTAAAAAAACCACCCGGGAGTCAGCACCATTTCAGCACTGTGCTGTGACTTAAGGCATGTCTACACCCAGCAGGGGAGTACTGAGGCGAAGAGCCCTGAGCTACCTATTTCCACAGCTGAATGCTATATAATTACTAACTGGCCTTGCTTCAGAACAGGGTGCAGCCCCACGTAAACCCATCTATATTGCAGCTGGGACATGAGCCAGTACTTGTGTCCCCACATCATGCCTTGGAGACATGACAGAGGTTGCCCAGGGTTGTGTGTCCTGCTTTGTGGGATGCACCTGCCTGATGAAAGAGCTATGAAACAACTGTTAAAAATCAGTGCTTTTGGAATTAAAACTGTTTCGCCTAAATTCCAAGCAGACCAGCCCATACTATTTTTGCTATTGATGCTGTGATGACTTCTGATACATGATTTGAATTGCTAGTAGGATTTTTGTGCCTGTTTTGCAACCCAGAAACCCACGGCTGTAAATCAGAAAGTGTGATTCTAGCAGACAACGTTTTCCTCAGCATTTGTGCTGCTTCTTTCAGTGTCAGTGAACTGTGAAGAAGCCACAGTCCAGATCAGCAGTGATCCCTCTGCATTGTTTTCTGCATTGTCTCTTTTGGTATTTTAAGCGTCTGATGTATATATGACAATTACCCATATCGCCAGCATGCACCTATGTGTTGCTGTTGATTCTTCCCAGTTTACTGATGCTTCTTCATATTTCCCTTAAAGCATGAAGGAATGGCAGTCATAAAAAGTTACTTTAACATTAACCTCCACTTTTCAACAGCCTAGCTCCTTCTCATGTTTTGCTGGCTTTTCATTTCTGCCATTCCCAGCACAGCGCTTTGCAGAAATGCAGTTGATACAAAGAACTGGCTGTACATTTAAATGGAAACAACAGTGTGGGGAGTCAGTGCAAGATGCTCAATCACAATTAACCTATCAGTGGAGTGAGGAGGGGACTCTTTAGAAGGGGCGGCTAGGTTTCTCTTCAAGGATGTTGTTCCCTGAAATAGTAGGATGTCTCAAGCACCTTCTGCCTTAGTAAGTATTGCCACATGGCATCAGTTATGTCAAATTTATTCTTGAAGTTGTGGTTGCAGAAAAGGCTCCTACTCATATTCATGTATTTTTTCAAGTGGTTTTGACTGAGCTACTAATATTTTTACTGGAGTTCCCTGAAAAAACTTAATCTTGCTTTGTAATAAACATATTCTCCCAAGTTACTGTGGAAATGTTTTGCACCTGCAACAGGCCATAAAAAAGTGTACAGGACAATCACATTGTGTCTTTGCAGATGAAACAAGTGAATTGTTGAGGTTCCAGCAGAATAAAATACCTGTAAGGGGAAAAAATTAAATAGCTCTTAAATTCTTACAGCCAGAAGCGAGTGAGGAGGATTTTTAGTGGCATTGAAATACACAGTGGTCAGAGGAAAAGAGTCCATTTTATCAGAAATGATTTTACTATTGACAGCTGTGCCCACAAGCACCTTTCCATTCTGAAAGCAAAACAAGAGATCAAGCAAAAGCAGTTTTTAACTTAAGCTAAAATATCTGCTTGATGTGTTTTGCATAATCTTTTCATTGTACCTAGTTCACTAAGTATAATTATCCTGCTTAAGAAATCATATGAAAAATGACAGGCAAGCTGCAAACACTCTGATATCATGTGCAGACTCATGTTCACATGTTCACACTCGTGCTCTCCCTTTTCCTCCCTTAATTATGTTATTTTTCTAGTAAGTAGCAGATTACCTGACATGTATGTCAATTAGTCATTCTTCTCCCACTGCAAATCTTACCATCTGTTCAAGATTTCTTATGATTCAATGGGAGTTTTCAACCAACTTCTTTACTCACTGGGTCAGACCCTCATATGTTCAAAAATGATATGATTTTACCAAAGTTTAAATCCATGTGGAGCTTTATAGAGGGAATACATTCTGATCCAGCTGGATACAAGAATTAGATCCAACTAAATTGCATGTTTAAAGATGGAGACCTAAATTCTTGTTAATTCTGGATGTTCTGGTTCACTTATGCAGCCATTTTTTGTCTTTCTGCCTTTATAGATACAACAAAAACGTATTTCTTGCAGTGCTTACCAGCTGTAAAGCACCATGTACTACACAAAAGTGAATAATCACCAGGCACTCCTGTATATAGGAAAGCTGATGCCACGTGCAGCTGCTTGTTTTGCTCCTGGTCACACACTGTTCCCAGAAAAGCATTCAGGTGTTTTTAGTGCCAGATTAATTCCTGTAGCGCTCCTAGGATGAAGTGCATGAAACCCCAAGGTTTAATGCAAGTGCGATTAAATTCAAAGAAACTAAAGCAGAGAAATACAAGGTCTGATCCTCAAAAATACTGATGGGTAACTTTGAACTTTATTAATTTCATTGATAGATTAGTGTACTCAGTCCCTTTAGGGATGCCAACTGTTGTGCAACTTGCTCAATTCTGTTAAAAATCCCCAACACTTCATTGTTCACATTTAACAGTCTGATCTCTCTAACATTCTACATCACGGTTTCTGGTGGTCTTCTTGGCCCTGGTAATTTAACATGTAATAAAAGTTTAAAATAAAAGGTCAGCATCACTAAATGTTTTTGATAAAATAAGTAAAATATTTGGCAATTCTTTCTCTTGGGTAAGATTCTGAAAATGCATCACCACCACCAGAAATGATTGATGCTAATAAAGCCTGCCACTGTTCCAGCTGACTAAAAATAGAGGTCTGTGACAGGCTAAGAGTAAAAATATTCAGTCGGAAGTTTATAACTGTTAGTCACAGTTCAATCTCTTAAATCTATCTTCAGTGCAAGAAATGATTATACAAAAGCAAACCCAAGAATAAAGTTTTGGAGAGTTTTGAGAATATATTACAGACAGCTTCACTAAGTATGTATTTCTGGTCTAGTAAAATCATTATACTAAATACCTCACAGAGTAATTGCATTTTTGCAAGCATATAAAGAACATCGTTCATTATATTTAGTCTACTTTTGAACTACACATGCTCTTCCAGAGGACTGACTTCCTGCATTTCAACTGTCAGCCATCACAAGGCCAAACTAGCTCATCTGCAGTGAAGACCCATCAGGTCCTTGGCACCAAGCACTGCTGCTCCTGGGCCACACTACCTCCTGATACAGACATAGTCAACTTTTCCTCATCCTATCCCCAGTATAGCTGGACTTCTTGGCATGGTGTTTAAGAAGTCCCTGTTGATCCTATGCTATGTAAGAAAGCCAGGGCAAATTTTTAAGTTCAATATCCCACCACAATCCCTCTGATCCTGCAGGAAGAATCATCTCATTCTCCTGACTACCTAGAGAGGAGAGAGGGGAAGGCAGCCCCAGGGTGAATGGTGAGGGGAAGGATGTACAGCTGCTACTGCAGGGATGCAGGATGCTACTAAAGGACTTGGAGCACAGAGGGTGCAGTGGGAGCTGCAAGGGGAAGGGAGATACTGTCTTTTTGGGCAGCCCCACAAATCCCGTATCTCTGGGGAAGCTGCCAAGGGACATGTAGCAGCTGCAGCTGGCAGCAGCACAGATTGTTTAGGACTGCTTGTCCCCTGCCAGGGCAGCTGGGGTCAGAGGAGAACTGTCCTTGCACATGTGACATACCTCATATGGAAAACAGGGTCTCCGTTCCTGTTCTCTTCTCTTCTGCTACCAACTATGCAATCAGCAGCATCTTTGTTTGCCAAAGCTTTGCTTTTCCCCATTCAGGATCAGGTCCCTCTGGGTTTTGTTCCCTACTTCTTTTGCCAATTGCAACAGCTTATTTTCTAGGGGATATTTTTTTACCCCACCATACTTCACAGATCTCACAACTTGATGAGGTTCAAACTCCCTAGGACACAATTTAAAGTTAACTGCCTCCTCCTTAGCTTTACCCCTTCCTACATTTTTTGTAGGGAGAAAATGCTCGTTTTTTTCCCCTAAATGAATGAGATCTCTTTAAAAACCTGTGGTTAGAAATTCCAGCATGA